ACCAGGTTTCCTAACAGAAAGGAAACAAGCTGGGCACAGCATCTTAAAGTCCACCAGTGAGGGGGTTTAGCTTGGTGGCAGAACCCTTGGTTTGATCCTCAGCACTGAAAAATAAAACACCTCAAAAGATGTGGTCTGCATTACATAAGTGTGCTAGGTAAACAAGCATTTTCCCAGACTAGGAAAAAAACAAAACAAAACTCATTAAGTTGGAAATGAATGAAAGGGGGGGGGGACATAAATATGATCCATCATCCTAGTACTTGGAGATGTTAATGTCTATATTCAGGTCTACAGCCATATCACACCAAACGCGCCCCACCTCACCAAATCTTGGAAGCTGAGCAGGGATGGGGTCAGTTAGATGGGAGACTGTCCATGTCTCTGCAGTCTTTTCTGCGGAAGCAATATTATGGTGCACTTCCTGTAAGCTTTCCGTTAAGTGAATGCCAAAGGTCTGATGTTAGGCCTGTGTGGGGTTCCAGTGGTACAAGGGGGATGATGTATGCCGGCACACTAGCCATTGGGAGATTTGAGTCCTACTCCTGACTTTCCCTCCAGTTTAGATACAGCCCTTGTAGTCTGTAGAAATCAGATCTTTGTTTTTTTGTTTTTGTTTTTCTCTTAAATTCTAAATTCTTAGAATGCTGAGTTTTGAACTACTGTTATCAAGGTAACTATGACAGAGGTTATAACTCCTGAGATGTGCTGGCCAGTTGTGTTCGGACAGCAGGGTATATATATATATGAGGGGTGGGGGGATTGCTTCTTGTGGCATATAGAGGATATTTGCATTTTCTCTACCTCAGAGCTCCTAATGCATTCATATCCAGCTTCTGCAGGAAGCTTTTTCCTAGTCTTCAGAGCTGAGCCATTCTTAAAGGATCTTGGCCCTGAAGGAAACGCTGCCTACCTATGCTTTTCTGACCGTTGCTTCCTAGCCACCAGTTTCTTGAATACAGTCATGTGTTTCTGCCTTAAGAGATCATGCCTGAACATGACGGTGGAAAGGATGTGGCTGGGTTCTCTCTTGTGAAAGAGGCTCACTTGCCATGGGTGCCGATGGCTAGAACGTAGTAGGGGAGAGGGAACCATGCCATCAGGGTGTGTCTTCCTGACCCAGGGCAGGATTGAAGGTGTGGCATATTCATGACCCCCAAACAATCCTCTATTATCCTACTCCACTTTACACCGTTCTGACCCCAGCGATCATCAAGTCCTCACCAGCTTCATATTTTACATGTCTCAGTCCATCCTTTTCCCTCTGACCCCTCTCTCTTCATCAAAACATCACATCACCATATACATTTGGCTCCAGAAATAGCCTCCTATTAGGCTTTGCATGATTACTGTGGCTACTCTACAAGCCATTCCTCATGCTTCAGCAACTCAAAATTTTTGTGTTTTTCAGTCCTAGGAATTGAATGCAGAGCCTCATATGTGCCAGGCAAGCACCCTATCAGTGGGTCGTATCATGTAGTTCAGGCTAGTCTCAAACTCATTATGCCCTTGAGAGCGATTCTGAATTTCTCATCTTTCTGCCTATATCTACAAAGTGCTGATATCACAGACGTGTTCCGTGCCCAGTTTATACCTTACTAGAGAGGAAGTTCAGAGCCTGATGTATGCTGGGCAAGCACTCTACCCACCAGGCTCTATTTCAGTCCACAATTTCTATTTTAAGTCAGGGTCTCACTAAGTTATCCATGCTAGACTTGAATTCACTTTATAGCCCAGGGAAGCCTTAAATTTTGTTGTTTGTTTTTGTTTTGTTTTGTTTTTCAAGACAGGGTTTCTCTGTGTAACAGCTCTGGTTGTCCTGGAACTTTCTCTGTAGACCAGGCTGGCCTCAAACTCACAGAGATCTGCTGGGATTAAAGGCATATGCCACTACCAGTCTGCCTGAGGCCTTGCATTTTTGATCCCCCTGCCTCAACCTCCAGAGTAGCTGGGATTACTGATACCAGTGTTAACATGTCTGGCTTCCTGTTTTTCTTTAAGTGCCATTTACATACAGACTTACTTCTCAAATAGGGCTGTATAGTCAGTCAATCCACCAGCCATAACATCATCTGGATGCTGACTAGAAATGCACTCTCAGGCCCCAGTCTGGACCCATTTAAACTAAAGTTGTTAAGCCTGACAAGGTATTGCACATAAGTAATCCTTGCTACTCTAGAGGCTGAGGTGGGGTTTTGAGGCAAGCCTAAGCTAAACACTGAATTCCAGGCCAGTTTGGGCTACAGTGTGACATCCTGACCCTAAAAACTGAAACATAAAATATCTTGAAACTATTTCTCAGAGCAGTTTTAAATTCCCAGCAGAATTGGGTGGATTCCCACAGACCAGTCCTGTCCTCACCTTTGAGCTTCGTCTATCATCAACATCCCATGCTATAGTGACACATTCCTTATAATCCATGAACCTACACTGACACGTCATCCTCACCAGAGTGAGGGTTTAGCATTCCCTCTAGGAGGTGTACTTTCTATGGGTTTGAAATGTCTATGATTAATAGATACATCATTATAGTATTATGCAAAATAGTTTCACTTCTCTGAAAAATCCCCTGGGCCTTTTAACACCTCCCAGGTGATTATATGCACAATTAATGTATGGACAGTGCTGAGATAAAACCCTTTCATGCCCTCCCAGTACTGTTTGAGTAGCATTCAGGTTCCTGATGGTAACCTGGAATCTCTAGGCTTGACTCCCTTCTGGTCCTGCTCTAGCCATCATTGCCTATCTAGAAGTCCTCAGCAGGTGAAAATGGTTCCCTTTCTTCAAAGCTCTCATCTCTGTGGTATTCACATATTTAATGCTATGATTATCAGATTGTTCATCTTCTCCTTCCAGTGACTATAAATTCCATGAATGAAAAGAGCTCACAATTTGTTCCCAGAACCAATTAACATGTCTTGTACCCAGAAACTACTTGGTGTTTGTTGAATTAAATGTTTAAAAAGAATGAGCTAGACAGCTATAGCATAGCTCAATTGGGAAAGTGCTTGCCTGGAATAACCCCTGTTTGATCGATCTCTAATGTCACATAAACTGGGTAAGGCGGGAGGATGAAGAGTTCAAAGTCATCCTTCATTACCTAATGAGTTAGAGGACAGCCTAGGCTACATGAGACTGCTTTAAAAAAAAAATTCGAGAGGGTGACAGCTGTGCTGGTGTTTGCCATCTTGGTACCCTGCCCAGAATCCTCTATTGCCATCTGCCTCCATCAGGTCTACTCATCCAGAAATCCTGTACCCTCCTTTCTCAGAGCCTGGGCTTTGGTAATCAGGACCTCCTACTTTTCATATTCTTGTGAGGTTAGTTCCAGGACTTTCGTATGCAAACTTGTTTGAGGGCACAAGTTGCAGGCCCAGCTGCTTCTGGGCTCAGAATAAGATGTTCATGGACCAGTGTTTGTTAAGTGCATGGTGCTTTCCTAATGGCTAAAAATGTATCGGCTATGCTTTGTTTCTGACTCTTTTTCTGGGGCAAATGTCAAGCGTTGGTTTAAGAGTTTTCTACCAACCCTCCCTCTCCACTTCCAGGTGCATGTAGTTTTCCAGAAGACGTGAGTTTGGGAGTGCTCCCCTAACTTCTAGAAAAAGATTATAACTGTGTAATTGTTGGATTTCTGACTATATATACAACTTGATGTATGAATGTTCTCTGAGTTCTGCAGACAGAGTGTAAAACTGCTACTACTGTGGCAGGTGGCCTGTGCACCCTGCATCCTCTTCCCTCCCCTCTCCTTGTCTCCTACCCTCTTAGCTATCGTGTGCAGGATTTTAAGTGAATGACTTTACACCAGGGCCTCTGAGAGTTCAGCTTCTGCATTGCCGGGTGGCACTCTAACTTCCTCCTTGTTTGTGAGAAACCAGTTTACACATGCTACTCCTTAGAAAGCAGATCTTTTGTTTCCTGACCTTAAAAAAGTCACATGGGTCAGATACCCCTTGAAAGGAAGGAAAAAAGGATGGAAGGATGGAAGAAAGGATGGAAGAAAGGAGGGAAGGAAGGAAAGAAGGAAGGATATAGTAGATGGCAGTTCCCAAGTAAACAGTGACCCCCTCAGTTCCCACCCTTTCTTTTTTTGGGGGGAGGGGTTGTTTTTTTCCTTTTTTGGGGGGGCAGGGTTTCTCTGAGTATCTCTGGCTGTCCTGGCACTCACTCTGTAGACCAGGCTGGTCTCAAACTCACAGAGATCCTCCTGGCTCTGCCTCCCGAGTGCTGGGATTAAAGGTGTGTGCCCCCACTGCCCAGCTACCCTTCCCTTCTTGTTAGTGCCTGAAGTCCAGCTCCCTTTAGACAACTGACACAGACACAGAATCACCTGGAAAACAAAATACTCTTTGAAAAACACATGAAGAACACAGTCCGTCAGAAACACCTTAAAAATATTCTTGCGCTAAATCTTAGCTGTTGGCTGTCAGTGTTGACACGTTGAAAGAAAGCAAAGCTTAAGAAGAACTATTAAGAGAAAGATTTCACATTAAAAAGATCACATTTCTCAACTACCCAGCATACCCCAAAAGGAAAAGATCATTGCTGGGTTTTAGACGTAAACCACACTAATTGAGTTGTGCCATCCATACATAATTTAGAAACCAGAATCCCAGTCCAATGCTGTTGGTATATAACAAGATGTAAGTGAACATCTAATATAGATGGAGAGGCCACAGCTGTAAGCTGCTTGCTGGCTTTATGTATTGTTAAAATAATTCTGTCCCCACCTCTCTGGTAAAGTTGAAGTTCTTGACTTAACTTGGTTTCTAACTTGTTGTGTGACCCTACATGTCCTTTTACCCTCTTTGAAGCAGAGCTTTCTTAGCTTTAAAGTATTCTAGGGAACACCCTGAAGGGTTCCTCCTCCTCCGGTTCACAGAGTGAGGAGAAGGGACAGCCACTAAGTGAGCCGAGGGACACAGCTCAGAGAACATGGTCATCTTCCTCAAAACCCGGTCCAGCTTCAGTCAAGTTCCTGAAAGATCCTTCCTTACCTGAAGATATTCGAAAAAGACCAACCAGCAGCACAATGAGATGAACAAGTCTGAGATGGGGACACCCGGGTCGTGGTGGATCCTGCCTCAGCTGGCAACCCATAGCTTCAGATGCTTTGGATAGATGGTGAAAGCCAGGAATGTAGAGCCAAAGGGAGCCTGAGCACCTCCAAGGCTCACGAAACCAGGGAAACAGAGCAGGAGAGAAGCCTGGATGGTACACACCAAGCAGACACTGAAGATTACTCTATTGCTCCTCTGAGATGGGCAGAGTTCTTGATCTCTGAAGGTTGTGTTTCACAACCTGAAAAAGAAACTAGTAAGAGTCGTCCAGTTGCTTGCTGTGAACTAAAGACTCTCCCATCTAAGATGAGTGAGAGTTCTTAATCTGAGTGGCCTCTAAATCGGGGTGTGGCCTTGAGGGGAACTCAAAGGTGGTGGGTACTCTAGAGGAGGTGACTTGTCTAGGCCTGTTCCGAGAACCAGCTGCAGCTGGGTGACAGGGTTCTTTCTATGCTTGGGGATGTGGCTAACATTATTAGAACACACCAGACTCCTATTTCACAAATAACAGCAAAAAGCAAACAGAGAGAACCTTCAGTATCAGCCAATCCAAGAATGCTTAATCACCCCCTCCCCGCCAACAAACATACACACAGAGTGATTGACAAAGGCACTGTCCAAGGCAGTGCTTTAGATAGGACATAGGACATGATTTCTTGATCTTTTAACAGGAAATTGAGAACCTCAGATCTTTTCTTTTCTTTCTTTCTCTTTTTTTTTTTTTTTTTTTGGTCTTTCGAGACAGGGTTTCTCTGTGTAGCTTTGGAGCCTGTCCTGAAACTTGTGGACCATGCTGGCCTCGAATTCACAGAGATCTACTTGCCTCTGCCTCCCGAGTGCTGGGATTAAAGGTGTGCACCACCAATGCTCGGAAAGAACCTCAGATTTTAAACACAGGGACTTCAACCAACTGAGGTGTCTACCTGTAAAAAGGGAGGAAAGAAAAGACACACTTGGAACACTGCATTTAGATGATGCCATACAATGTGAAGAGGCTTGTTTATGGCTTTTTTCCTTTTTCAGTAAATGTATCAAAATTGAGAAATGAAAATTAATGATGTCACTCCTGTAACTGGCTGGATGTGTGGATCTCCTCTTTTGGAGCTATCCCTGAACCATACAAGACCGTCTCCCTAGCCACACTCTAACCAGTAAACTTGAAGAGACTTTCCCATTAGCTTTTTATTGATTAAAAACAAACAAAACAACAACAACAACAAAAAACTCAAGCTCAGTCTATAGAAATATTTGCTATATTCTAGGAACACAAAAGAGTTGTTGTGGTGTTTTTCCAACAATGTTGGAATGCCACAGCCGTGAGACTAGACCACTGGGAACTCCTCTGAGGGCAAGCCACAATTGTATGTTTGTTTTAAAAGTGGTGAAATTGGGATAGAATGCCTGCCTAACTTGCAGGAAGCCTTGAGGTCAATTCCCAGAGTTATTTAAACAGTATGGGGACACTGGGGAGGCAGAGGCAGGAGGATCAGAAGTTCCAGATCATTCTAGGTTACTTAGCAAGTTTGAGGCCTGCCTAGGATTTATAGGCGACCCTGTCTTAAAGGAAAAAAGAAAACAAAAGAAAAGAAAGCTCAGGTTGGTGTTAAATTGTTCTACCAAGGTATCCCACAGTGTGATAAATAGTAAATGCATTTACTTACTAGCTGAAGAATATTCCTTTTTCTTTTGTCGTAAAAATCAAATGATGGGGCCACTTATGAGCTGTTCTTGCCGTCTTGTCTTTATGACTAACACAGTAGGGAGGCGGAATTTCCCCTTTCCAACTTCCCTTTACCAAAGCCTTGAGGAAGCTCCCTTGCTTTTTGAGAGTATGACTTGGGTAAGTCACCCCAGAAGGCAGCCCTCACCATGGGGGGTGGATAGGGGTGTGTGAATTAACCTTGGTGAGAGTTTGGGGTATCTAGGAAGAAGAAGAGCAAGGGGCAGCCACTAACTCTGCCCGGACAATGGTGTGTGAGCTATCCTGACTGCTTCTGCACTGATCTCAAGTTCTTGTCTCACATTCAGTTAGTTATTCTTTCCCTACTGGTGGTAGAGACTGCTGTGGTAACAGGCTGTCTGGATCATGTGTAGGAGGCAATTTTTTAGGGGGGGGGGTGTTTTCTGTTTACTAGATCATCCTAACTGCATTTGCATATTGCCCATCCTCAAAGAGTGTGCTCCCTGCAGTCACATTGGATGGTGTGCTCCACTCACCACAGCTAGTGTAGCTCCGTGAGCACAGTGAAAGAAAGCATCAAGGGATGGAGTGAAGAAGGCTCCTGTCTTCCCCTGGACTGCTATCTGAAGCCAGTTTCACACGCTGGGACCCTGTGTATGGAATTTGGGAGTAGCAGTCAGCGATGCTGGACAGTGAATCTCTTTGCACAAGTAGACCCAAGCAGATCCTCGACTAAGCCTACAATTTCAGAGTTGGCTTTGGAGCTACCTAGACCTCCCCTGTTGCCTTGACATGGAATACCCTTGGAAGTTCTGTACTCCAGCATGCAGAACCTTAATTGTGGGGAAGTCTGTGTCTGTAGGGGCCTCCCCCTTTGTCTCCCAGGAGGAAATTCTTAAAGACCTTACAGGGCTCCCAGAAGGTCCTGGGGGATGGAGTAACCACTGCCTTTACTAGGCATCAATTTGGCAAGTCTTTTTGTAATGGATCTCATCTCTCTCTTGACTCTCTAACCATTCAAGTTTCTTAGTTTTCACTAAGGCCCTTGTCTCTAGCATTGCTTCACAAAGAACCCAGAATAAGACAGCAGGAATCAGAGTATGTTAGAGGCACACAGTTTTCCTTCTAAAGTAGGGGAAGTTTATAGGGGGGGGGGAAGAAAATGATAGTATGGTGCATGGGTGTAGCTACATGTCTAAAATACTGACTTAATGTTGCTAAGAAACAAGTTTTTTTTCCTGACCCCCCCCAAAAAAAAAAAAATCACAATTGCAGTTGCTATCTATCCTCTTTTTCAGTGTTACTGAAGGCATTGTAGTCTGACTAAAAGACTGATTAAGAAGTATGACAGGGGTCTGAGATCTACCGGCCTTCCTAGGAAAGGAAGCGATGGAGATCATACAAAAGGAGGAGGGGGAAATAGAGATTTGCCATGTCAAAACTGCCCTTACACTGTCAGGCCCAGGCTATGGCAAGTACTGGCAGACTGATGGGACCCAAAAGTCCACCTCCCAAGCATTGTTCTTGCTGGTACCCTGTATGGCAGGAGGACAAGGGCAGGGTCCTCCAACTGAGGGCGAGGTATGCCTGTGAGCATCCTTTTCCTATAGCCCTGGTAATTTTAAGAAAACCAAATTCCAGATTTTTTACTTCTTTGTATATTCTTTCTAAAAATTTACCTATGGTGAGAGGATTTGGGCCTTTCCCCTAAAAAAGAACACATCTCACCCAATCTGAATCTTAGTGGTGTGGAGGCTTCTTGCTGGGACCTCTTGCTGGTCCTAGAACCTGACGGGTCCCTGGCTGCAGGATCCAGACACTAAGAGTCACTTCTGGTTGCAACACTGCATTCTCTGCCGGAAGGAACCCAGTTGCACACACTCTCTGATTTCATTTTCTCTGAGAAGAGGAGTAAGGAGGCAATAATCAGGCAGTAGGAAAAGTCAGAGAAGGTGTGTTTGGGGGACAGGACAGTGTAGTTACAGTGACTGTGAGTTTAGAAGGCTGGAGAATGCAGAACCTGTTAAAGACTTAGGGTATTTAGCTCAAGCTGGCTGTTTGCCCCTTCCTAAAATGAAACAAGTACCCACTCTCCCCCCTCCCATTACCTTTTCCTTTCCTTTTCTCTTCTTGTGGATTTTTCCTGAAAAGTGAACCAGACAGTTGCCTTTTATTTTGTATTCACAACATAATATCAACATAATATTATAAATATGATCTTGAACAAAAGGCCATGGTTTCCAGATTTTGCTAGAAAGGGAAACTTAATTCTGTTCATAAAACTAAAGAGAAATTTCATGACTTAAATAAAAACTGGAATTTCCCTTGCACTAATTCTTTCTAGGGAGGGCATGATTTTAAAATTTATGTACATGATTATTTACTTTTAATAACTTTGTTGACATATCACTAAAACTAAAAGCACATGCTTTTAATCCCAGCACTTGGGAGGCAGAAGCAGGAGGATCTCTGAGTTTGAGGCTAGCTGATCTACAGAGTGAGTTCTGGGACAGCCAAGGCTACACAGAGAAACTTTGTCTTGAAAAACAAAACAAAAAACACCAAACAATAGCAGCAACCCACACAGTAAAAAGCTAAAAATATTTAAAATATACAGTTGGATTCACACACAAGCCATCACCAATGGAGATAGTGAGCACCTGTACATCACCCCTAGCATCTCCATGGGTTCTGAAATTGCTCCTCCTTCCCCGTTCCTGCCTCTCCATCTTCTTCTGTTAAGTTGTTTGCACATTTAGAACAGTATCAATATAATTACACAGAATGTCCTTTTTGTCTGCTGTCCTAGCACAATATTTTAAGCATAGCTAGTGAGGATAGGTGTAGCCAGTTTGAGTGTGGGAATGGATTTTGCCCACAGGAAGGCTCTGCAGGAAGGTGGGGTTCATTCTGTTGAAGATCCTCAGACGGTACCTCTCCAGGGCCTCTGCCTTATCTCTTTTGGGGATTAGGTGAGTGGCTCCTCACCTGTTAGTTCTCTTAAGGTGGTACTCCACCCTAAGCTCCAGGAGTTCCCTTCATAGAGCAGTTTTGGATGCAGTGTGATCCAGCAGCGAGGAACCAACACCTCCAAGGGTGGAGGAGCAGATTGGAAAGATGGGACAACTAAATGTCTCCTGCTAGAATTTCTTCACTGCGTGTGTCCCGGAGTCTTCCAGAAACAGCAATGGGAGTGGACTGGCCGTGGTTAGTCCAGGCTGCTCAGTGAAGGCAGCTGGGCACAGGGGGCATGGAAGAAAACTCGCTCTGACGAAGCACCCATTCTTCTAGTATGGCTTTTATTTTTGTTTCCCCCTGAAGGCTGCATTTTCATCTACTGAGAGCCCAGCAGCCAGTGAAGTCCCCTAGTGGCTGGGACTGTGGCTGGAGCATGGAAGTCCTTTGAAAGTTCGGGAAATGGGTTTGGGGAGTCAGGCATACTTCCCTTCCTGTGGGAAATCCAGCAAAAGAAAGAAGGCAGCAGTAGAGGCCACTTGCTGGAACTCACCAGAGAAAAATTTCAAGTCTCTACCAAAGGCTGGGAAGCCCTGCAGCCGGGGAGGCAGCCGGGGCAGTAACAAGGACTTCCCCCTCAGTGGTCTTTCTGTTCTGCTTGGAAGGGTGAAGCTTTCCCTAACATTCAGACACTATTTCATCAAGTGTGGTTGCCACCAAGCCTCCCAGCCTGTTTACTCTCTGACATTGCTGTCAGTCTCTTAAAATGATGGTGCATATCTAAGTTTTGTTTTAAAAATATATATATAATGGTTTTCTTTAAATACTACTTTTACATGGTCACAAAGGGGATGCTTCAGCTTACCAGGGTTAACATAGACTATTTTAACAACGGTCAGTGTTTAGCTGCAAAGCCATTTCGAATGTTTTTTTTTTTTTTTTTTTTTTTTTTTCCCTAAGTGGCAGCGTGGGGACTGGAAAGGCTAACTCTGGGCTGCAGGCCTGGTTCTTTTTGTGTAACTGGACCCTGGGCTCCAGGCCTGGTTCTTTTTGTGTAACTGGGCTGTCCAAACTCTCAAGAACTCTCCTGTGCCTCGGTTTCCTCGTTGGGATATGTTGAACAAACACTGCCATGGAGCTAACATCTGATGACTTAAACCACCCTTAGGGACACATGCATTCTGTTTTTTTGCCATGGCTTTTGAGGCAGAGCCTCCTTCGGTGCTCCAGGGTTGCTTTGCAGTGTAGCTGGTACTGTTCTTCTGTCCTGTCGGCTTTAGATTTCAAATGCTGGGATTACAGCCACAAGCCACCACATCTGACTGTATTCTGTTCTATTATTTTTCAATTTTCATTTTAGATCCTGCAGCCAGGCTGCCCTGGAATTTGCTATTTAGACCAGGCTGGCCTCACAGATATCTGTCTGTCTCTGTCTCCAGAGTGCTGGAATTGGAATTAAAGATATGTACCACCATATCTGATGTATTTTTTAACTTTTTATTCTTTGTGGATTTCATATTATATATCCAGATCTTAATTATCTCCCTGTCCCCTTGCATCTGCCTTCTGCCCTTGCAATTTCTCCCCCAAAACAAAACAAAATAATAATTAAAAAAAAAAAGCCAAAAAAACCAAACCAAAACAGACCAAAACAAAACAAACACTTAAGGGTTCCCCAGGGATGGTGTCCAGAGAGCCTGCTTTCCTCGGTGAGCTGTTCTTCTAGTCTTCCTCAAGTCGTGTTTTAGGATTTGCAGTCTTACATATTTAGACTATGTTTAGAATGTCTTGGTAAGCAAGGAAATGAAGAAGAAGACTAATGTTATATATAGTCTCACAACTCAGGGCCTGGTTCAACTTAACTCTAGGCCCTGCAGCCGTGCATCCTTAAGGGAAGAAGTGCTAATTAAACTCGTGACTTTGTTTTTAGTTTATATTTCTTTCTATTCTGAGGCACAGCCCAGCCTTGCCTCAAACTCAAGATCCTCCTGGCTCAGCTTCCCAAATTCCCATGATTACAGGGTTGTTATGGTGCCCATCTGGTTTTATCCTTTTCATTTTAAATGGATTTCCCTGCATTCAAGCAACTGCGTGTATGGTGTGTGTGTGTTTCTTTCTGTGCTTGTAGTGATTTTATTTGCTTACCTAATAGTATTCAAATATCAGCTCAGGCCCAATTTTCTCCATATACCTTCTCTGAGTATAATGATTGACCCAAAAATGTTTCTGTCTTACATTTACCAACCTGAACCTCAAACGGTCTTCATCATGTTCCTTGCAGCCTAATGCTATTCCAGTCCACTAGACACATCTTCTATGAGTCTGGTTATTATCTGACCTCTTTACTTGGCAAAGTTTGGCACATTTAGATACTGTATTAGTCAAGGAACCAGAACACACACACACAAACACACACACACACACACACCCGGAGGGAGGGACACAAAGTGGGTGGGGAAGATACCCACTTTAAGAATTGTATTTATCAACCACAGCACTTGGGAGGCAGAAGCAGGTAGATCTCTGTGAGTCTGAGGCCAACTTGGTCTACACAGTGAGTTCTAGGCCAGCCAGGGCTACCCTAGGTTTCTACATTATAAGGTTTGGTGAGCTCAAAGTCTGCAGGGTAAAGCTACCAGCCTGGAGGCTCTGAGAAGGAGCCAACAGTCCTAAGGCAGTCAGTAAGCAGAATCCTTTTTGGGATGGGAGGGGAGTCCTTCCTCTTAAGATCTTTAACTGATTCAATTAGGCCGGCCCACAGTTTGGAGGATAATCTACTCTACTCAGTGTTTGACCATATAAAGGTTAATCACAGCTTTAAAATATTTTCCCATCTGGAGAGTGATTCCAACAACTAACTGGGTGTCATAAATGTCATGAGATGAGCTGTCCAGATAGTTTCAGTCTTCTCGACTGAAAAGCAGCCGCTTTTGGGTTTCCTTGTCTTTGCTCCCCAGCTTTCCTGTTTCCATACTTCCCCATCTTACTTTATTTTGGTGAATTTTCACAGGGTCCTAGCCTGTGCTTTGTTGTCTTTTGACCCTACCTGCTGCAGCTTTGCTGTTATCTCTGCTAGAGAGCCCAACCCGACTTTGCATATTAACTACTTCCTGTTAGTACAGATTTTCTAAACCTTTATCTGTCTCTGTACAAACAGGCCTATTCAGGCCAAGGTAGTGTCAAAACTTTGTGTTTTCTATCTTCAGTGAATCTGTTCTCTTAAAACAGTTTTAATTGTGGAGCGGTGGGAGAGCAACAGGGCACCGGGGGCCCTCATACTCTTACTGTATCCAACTAGAAGGACACTTAGCCAGAAAGCATTAATGTATGTGAACAACCGGAGTCCTGTTCATAGATAGATGACAAAGCCAGTTTTTAAAGAAAGGATATAAAATTCTATTTACAAAAGGACCCCGTTACTGTTTTAAAAGCATGTGCATCCCATAAAGACTGCAAGTATATATATATATATATAACCAGAGTGGTAGCATGTAGCTTCTATTTTTTTTCTTGAATCTCATTAAATATAGAAAAATATTCTAAAAGATGTAAGGCAGGTGTGGTGTTGCAAAACGGAAATTCCATCATTCTAAAGGTAGAGACAGGAAGATTATTACGAGTTTGAGACCAGCCCGGGCTATAGTGAAACCCTGTCTCAAAAAACAAAACAAAACCACCAAAATTTAAATTTTTTTCATCTCTGTCTCTTCTCAGAAAACTCCCTGTTCTCCCTCAGAGGGGCACTTGTAATTTACAATTTGATGCTTGCTCTTCCAAGGAGCCCCCACTCACTGCTTTATTGACAGATATTCATCATCCACAAACTTGACTTATTAAAAATGTCCTCCAACTCCACGCGAACGTCTCCTTTAGTATTTTTTAGGTTAACGGTAGATTTACTTATGCAAGAGCAGAGCCATCAGTGCCAAAGTTAATAGGAGAGGTTAACTATTCGATCTGATTTTCCTTCCTAGATAAGTCTGCGTGTTTTGAAAACGTGTCAGAAGATAGGCCCAATCCCCAGCACAGCTCGTAAAAGTGAATTCCTGGAAGTGGGTCTGAAATTAGGATAAACGGCTTTTGATCTTGCTTGGGTCCAACGAATCAAGGCAGGATCTACAATATGCGTTTAGGGTCGTTGTACTGAAGCAGATATTCGTGTTTAAGCCGGCCATGATGCTCAGGCGCTCGACCTGAGCCAAAATTTTGGGTCTCGGGGACAAATCTGGGCTGGGTCGAGGGTACTGGGGAGGGTGGCCAGGGGCGCATGCTTATACTTGGCACCGGACCACTTGGCTCACCGCGTCCTTCGCTACCTTTGGCGAAGGGTCTTAATTTAGGGGCCAGAAACTCAGTTTCCGTTAGAATCACTTGCGTGAAGAGCATGCAGAGCCCCGGCCGAACAGACTGGAGCTACAACGGACGAGCCCTCACCGTCCGCGCCACCAGTACCAGCACTGCCAGGCCGGCTCACAGATCGGGCAGAACCCGATGGGGCGCATGCTCGGCTGGCTCCGCCCCCATCGGCAGACACGCCGCGCGGATAGGTTACCAGGTCGCCCCTTCCGCCCGCGCTTCCCCGGGGTCTGGGCTCGGTGACAGCCACTCCTTCCGCCCGGTGCTGATGGTGGAATAGGCGCGGCCCCACCGGAAGCCGCTCTGCGTCCGCCACTCTCCAACCCCGGAGCCCCGCTCCTGGCTCCGCCCCTGTTCGCCCCCGGGCTCGCACACCGGACAACGAGGCTCCAGCTCCTGCTTCCCCACCTCCAATTCGGGCCGCAGGGGCTCCCCGGACCCCGTCCCAGCAGGTACAACCAGACATCCTGGACCACTCTCTTGCTGACCTGGTACCCGCTCAGCCCCGGACTCTCACCTCCAGAGTGGAGCTAGGCCCTCAAAGACTTCCTATAGTGCGTTGCCACCGCCTCCCCATCCCCCTTCTTCTTTTCCTATTCCTCTTAACACCCAGATCAGGAAAACACAGGCTAGTGTGGAAGCGGACTTCAGTTTTGATTGTGTAATTTGATTGTTATGGGATCTGTAGAAGCTTAGAGTGGGTTAAGGAGTAATGACTTCTCAAGGCAAGGATGGGGCACTATGGATGCATGTCCCAGGGTGAAAAGGAATTTCAAAGAGAAAAGATGCTGGGCTTTCCACACACTGGGGTAGAGCCATAGACAGCTGCAGAAAAAGAACATTTGAGCATTGGGAGGGAAAGATGTGGGTGTTAATCTTCAGTTCTCAGAGGTCAACAAAGCTTGGGCTTCGAAAACCTGGGCCAAGACAGTATCTCGGAGAACATTTACAGTGCACATCCTCCTCCCCCAGAGATGGGAAACCATTCCAGAGTGAATGCCTGTTTATTATAGTTACACAACCAATTCCAGGGAGTACAGAGTTCTGGTTCCTAGGCTTTATTTATACATGAGAAAATACAGTGATTTAGAGCTGGCTATTCCAATGCTCGGTCTGTCTTTATCCCTTACCGCTTCTCCAGGTCTTTGCCGGCCTGCAGCCTAGTCCTGAGCAGTGTGACTCTATGGGGGACTGTGGAAGTGCCTGGACTTGAACTAACCCTAAAATAGCATTTAGGTAAGTGGGGGGTGGGGTGGGGGAGGAGAAGGGCAGTGGGGTGTGGAAGAGCATGAGCTGAGGGCAGGGCTGAGCTAGTCCTTTTGTGCCTAAGATTATTTGCCCTGTACATGGGGTAGATGGATAGAGTGGGCAGACATTAGAACACTTTGAACCTGAGTGTCACAGGGGATCGGTGCAATGGGGAACTGGCAGAGAGAAGGGTCTTAAATGCATGCACAAGGAAGCTGGTGCGTTAGCAAGGATTTAATTTCTGGTGGGACTATGATTTGTGATCTGCTACTATAAAACTTTTATCATATAGAAGACAAACAGGAGCTGGAGAGATGGCTCAGTAGTTAAGAGCACTGGCTGCTCTTCCAGAGGACTCAGGTTCAATTCCCAGCACCCACATGGCAGCTCACAATGCCTATAAGTCCAGTTGTAGGGGATCCAACATGCTCACACAGACACATATGCAGATAAAAAGCCAGAGCACATAAAAAAATAATTTTTTAAAAATTTAAATGTTGCTGGTAAAGGGTATGGGCAAAGTATTCTAGCTTCATTCTAGAACTGGTTGTTGATGAATAATAATCCCAAAGTTGTGCTCACTAAGCACTTTATGGGAACTCATTCATTCATTCCTCATAACACATCTGGGAGGTTGTTGCTGTTTTTTTTTTTTTTTTTTTTCCCCAATTATTATCATTTTACATGAGCCATCAAGAAGTTGTCCCAGGTTAAGGCCAGAAGCATTCTGGCAGGGAACTAGAAGACTGGGTCTGCATGCTTTGGTTGTAAGCTGCAGTTTGCTCGTCTGTGAACACTTAGCTGTAATAAGTGTTACTGTCTACATGAAGGAGAGATGCACTTCCAAACAGTGTGTCACCTAAAGGAGAAAACCACAGGCCTGGGTTGGCTTGTGGGACTGAATGGACACACCACTACCCGAGAGTCCAAGACACAGAGACACAGCTCGGGAGCCAGTTCTGTGTTAGTGCTGTTAGCTCTGGAGCCTGATTCAGTTCTCTTAATATTTACGAAACTGCATTGTCTCCACAATGCTTGATTTACTCCATGCTCAAGATGCACCTAGTAGCAAATCTCTAATGGAACAGTTATGACAATTAAATGGGATCTACTTATACAGTGCCCACAGGCAGAATGCTGAGTAAAATACAGATTTTTTTTGTTTGTTTGTTTGCTTGCTTTTCTCTGATTAATCCTCCTCTGTTCTTCTGCAGGTGTCTCAGTTATCCCCCAAGACCACCTGTGGCAAGCTCAGCATGGGTGGGGATCTGATTGAGAGGTATGTGGCTGCCATGGTGCTGAGCGCGGCTGGAGATGCCTTGGGGTACTTCAATGGGAAATGGGAGTTCCTTCGGGATGGGGAGAAGATACACCAACAGTTGGCCCGGATGGGTGACTTGGAAGCCATAGATGTGGAGCAGTGGAGAGTCAGCGATGACACGGTGATGCACCTGGCTACAGCAGAGGCGCTCCTGGAAGCAGGCAAACCCCTGAACTTGACTCAGCTGTATTCCTTGTTAGCTAAACATTACCGGGACTGCATGGGAGACATGGATGGCCGGGCGCCAGGTGAGTGCAGCTGGGAGGAGGCTCCTGAGGACAGAGATAGGCCCATACAAGGTACTGAGAAGATTGATGGGGACTGGGGAGTGGTAATGAGCCTATCATCCACACTCAGAAGGGCTTTGATTTCAAAATTAGCCTAGGCTCCATAGTGAGATTCTGTTTCAGAGACTCAAAAGGAGAGAAAAGTTGTGGGGCGTTTAAAGATCAATGAAACAGTAGTGCAGATTTGAATTCTTATCGCTTATTTATGGTGGCACATTCAGAGTTTTGTAAATTCTGCAGACGAATAGTTACTGATATGGTAAAGTTTTATCCATGAAAACCAAATAAGTTTCAGAACAATGTTTTATGAAAGTAACTTGGCTGAAGTATAAAAGTATGCCAGGTGTGGAGGTGCATACCTGTAACCCCAGCACTTGGGAGGCAGAAGCAGGGAGGTTAGGAGTGTTGGGGTGGTGGGGGAAGTGCTGGAGATATGGCTTAGCAGGAAAGGACACTAGCTGTGCAAGCACGAGGATCTGAGTTCAAATCCCCAGCACCCACACAAAGAATCACATGTGTAACCCTGTGCAAAAGGAGACAGACATGGGAGGATCAGTGGAGCTTGCTGGCCTAGCTCTAGACCCTGCACCAAGGGTGGTAGAAAGAGGTAGGACACTGAGTAACCTCGTGTGGCCTCTGCCTGCACATGGACATGTGTGCCAACACCACATACACAGAGAACAATTGCTTATCTCCACTGAGAGAGATCTGGAAGCATATACAAAATTATGTTCATAATTCCACCCAAGTAATAGAAGTAGACATCATCTGTTATTTTCCTTCTCTTAGAACAATTTGTTCTGTATGAGCAATTACAAAGAAACCTTTCTGTTTTTCCAATTTAAAAAAAAAAAAAAAATGGAGACTCCTTTTGGTTCTAACTCTGCTCACAGTGGCTCTCACCCACTTTGGGAACTCTGTGTGGCTCCCTAGGGACCACCAGGTTTAGGTCACCTTTTCCCTGATCAACCTCTCTTCCTGTAAGAGTCTGTAAGGGAACTGTCATCACCAAATGTTACAGACTGAGGAACTTAAAAAATAGACATTTCATTTGATCTTGGCACTTGGGAGGCAGAGGCAGGTGGATCTCTGTGATTTTGAGGCCAGCCTGGTCTATAGAGAGTTCAAGAACAGCCAGGATTGTTATATAGGAAAATCTTGTCTCGGAAAACAAAACAACAAAAACCAGACATTACGTGATTCTGGCTACCAGAAGCCTAAGCCACACAGCATTAAGTTTGGTTTGTTCTGGAGCTGCTCTTCTTAGCTTGCCTGTGGGTATTGTCTCTGGTCCTCATGTGGTCTTTGTGTATTGCATCACTGTGCCCGTGTGTCTATATGTTTCCTGTTACATTTAGATTAGATTAGCTTCACCCTAATGGTTCTTCAGATTAAACATGTTTGAAAGATCCTATCCCCAAATTAAGCACTGGGCATTATGGTTTCAGCATATGTACTTGGACTTCAACATATGAACACAATTCCACCATAACTCCTGATTGAAGAATTCCTCACCATCAAATTCATGACACCTCCTAATCCTAAGGACCAGATTTAAAAGTCCATCTCTGCTCATCTTTTCTTAGCATCTGCTACTCACTCAGTTTGACACATGCTTTTATTTGCCTATCTGTGTCAGCCATGGATATTGATATCAACTGCCCAATAAGGGAACAGTGATACTGCATTCCAGAGCATGCTGCTGCCATTTCTTGGCTCCTGTAACACTGCTCTCCACTACAAAAGGTCAATGGGCAAGCCTCCTCCTACCTCTGTCATATAGGGGACAGCATAGTCTGTTGTTCCCATCTAAGCCCAGTGTTTCTTCTGGAACTTTGTCTTCTGATAGTCAGGGGCCCAATAGGAACCCCAATAGTCTCTTATTATACTCACTTGATGGTCACTGACTAGCTGGTTCTGTGATCTTAAGTTCCCTAAGTTTTGAGTCTGATCTTATTCATAAAACAAAAACAAACAAACAAAAAAACCCCAAAAACAATAATACATGGTAGTAGTGCACACCTGTGTTCCTAGCACTTGGGAGGCAAAAACAGGGGAATTACTATGAGTTTATGTTCAACTTAGGATACATAGAGAGTTCCAGGTAAGCCTGGTTTATGAAGAAAGCCTTTCTTTAAAAAATAAATAAAAGCAAATATAGTATAGCTACCTTTTGAGATACTGTGAGTTCTCTAATAACTGGGGAGGTCCTGAGGCTTACTCTATGAATATGCTGCTTTGTTAATTCATAATGTCACACTTAGGGTTATGTATAAAGAAGGCCATCAGTTGGGCTGGGGGTTCATCCCCATCATATGTTCATGGCTTTCCTTTGGTTTCAGAGAAACTTGGGAATCTGTTTAGTTCTTTATTCTCACCAGGTCCTTTGTTTTGGTGACTCTGACCCTTTCCCTCTACCTGACTCACCATAGGTGGTGCTTGTATGCAGAATGCCATGCGGCTGGAGCCCAACAGGGCCGATGGCTGGAGGATTCCCTTCAACACCCGAGAGGGTGGCTGCGGGGCCGCTATGCGAGCCATGTGCATTGGGCTGAGGTTCCCTCACCCCAGCCAGCTGGACACGCTGATCCAAGTGAGCATTGAGAGTGGCCGGATGACCCACCACCACCCCACAGGCTATCTTGGAAGCCTTGCGTCAGCTCTTTTCACAGCATATGCTGTGAGTGGCAAGCCACCACATCAGTGGGGAAAAGGGCTGATGGAGGTGCTACCAGAAGCCAAGAATTACATTATTCAGTCAGACTACTTCGTGAAGGAAAATCTTCAACACTGGTGAGTGTCCGTGTATGTACATGCACCATACATGCATCTGGGGTTCAGAGATCATAGCTGCCATCACAGTACTCACAACCCCCCCCCCCCCCCCCACACACACACAGCATCTGCTAAAGATTCCAAGTTCCTTCCCATCTTGGTTGTCTGATGCAGCCAAGTGGATGCCTAGGCACCAGTAGGCATCTCCTAAGTGTTATTTTGGATGTCAGCTTTTTATAAATTTTATGACCGGCCTATGCAGAGATGCACTTTTCTTGGTTACTTCCTCTTTCCCCGAGACTTGCTTTTCCAGTATTGCTTTGAAGCAATACTTCAGAACCCTCGGTTAGAATGCCCAAGATACAGGTTTCTCCAGGAGCTAAGTGACAAGGCCACTTCTTCCCCTTTTGATAACTTACTTCATATTATTTTTCTTAGAAGAAAAAGGCTCAGTCAGATGCTCTTACTGAAGTTGCCCATGGTGGTGATGTCCCAGACAAGAGAATGAGATGTTGCTCTGGACACAGACAGACAAATATTTATTTCTTGTCCTATAGCCTGACACCTTATTGAGCAACTGTGTCCATATCTGGTTTCTGGAGGTGGTTAGTAAAAAATGTATGAATGGCTTGTAAAGTTAATTTAATTTTTTTTTTCCCCTATGAGTTTATGACACTAGTATGAAGAGTTGAAGTCATTGTGGGTTTTTTCTATTTACATGTCTACCTGGCACTTTTTCATACAGCTTTTGACATTAGGGTTTTTTTTTTTTTTTTTTTTTTTTTTTTTGCTTTTGTTTTTTAATTAATTTTCCCTCTACAGGTCCTTCTTCGAGAAAGAATGGGAAAAGTACCTGGAACTTCGAGGAATTTTAGATGGCAAGTCAGCCCCTGTCTTCCCGGAGCCATTTGGTGTGAAGGAGCGGGATCAGCTCTACATCTCCCTGAGTTACTCTGGCTGGGGTGGCAGTAGTGGACACGATGCCCCCATGATTGCCTACGACGCCCTCCTTGCTGCAGGGGATTCCTGGAAGGAACTCGCACACAGAGCCTTTTTCCACGGTGGAGACAGTGATTCCACAGCGACCATCGCTGGCTGCTGGTGGGGAGTTCTGCACGGTTTTAAAGGAGTAAATCCTTCTAACTACGAGAAGCTGGAGTACAGACAGCGGCTGGAAGAGGCAGCACGAGCTTTGTATTCTCTTGGGTCAAAAGAAGACACTGTATTTGGCCCCTAAAAGAAGACACTGTATTTGGCCCCTAGGGAGAGGGTGGGTTTTTTTGTTTATTTGTTTTAGGTTTTGGTTTTTTTTTTTTTTTTTTTTTTCTGTTGGTTCCTTTCTCTATAGTTGTGATTCTCCTCAACTTTTTCCGGGGTCAAGAATCCTAATGTCATGCTCAAAAGAGTTTTGAAATGACAAGTTCCTTGGGCGCCTTTAGCTTTGCCCTTCCCACATTCCCTTGTGTTCCCACACTTCCCCGCTCTCCCTGTGTTCATGTCTGTGTTTGGGAATCTTTTTTTTTTTTTTTTTTCAGTTGTTGGCATCAGCTCTTCCTGTTCCAGGAACACCTTGTATTTGAGTCTCCATTTTTATCATGGAATTGTTCCCGATGCTTTGTCTGAGTTTTCCTTGATTGGGCCCCACCTACCCCAAGCTGACTTGCACAAAGGTTTAAGTGCAAGGAGTTTATTTGGGAGGCAATTCCAGGAAGTAGAACAGGGAAGTGAGATCAGGAAAGGAGGGAAGGGAGCCACACAGGGTGTATGAATGAGCAGGAATCCCCATGGCCATTTGAGGTGCATTTTATCTGGGCCTCTGCCCAAGACAGTCTTCAGCATTGACCTGGTGAAAAGCCAGGCCAGTTTTAAGTGTGTCTACTGACTTTCACCTGATTGGTTAAGGCCCATCTCTAGGGATGCTGTTAACTCCCTGGGACTTCTCAGCTTGCTTGCAGTGGCAAGTTATAAGGCCTGAGAACAGAGGAGCACAGTGGGGAATCCTAAGAGCATCGCTGTCCTAATTAGTGTCCTATTGCTATGAAGGGACACCACCATGATCACAGCAACTCTTATAAAGGGCAGCATTTAATTGGGGTCTCGATTACAGTTTCATTATCATGGCAGGAAGCCATGATGTTGGATTGATCATCAAGAAGAGGTCTGCATCTACAGGCAGCAAGAAGAGAAATCCTGGGCCTGGCATGGGCTTTTGAAACCTCAAAGCATATTCCACCCCAGAGACACACTTCCTTCAACAAGGCCAAATCCTTTTAATCCTTTCAAGTAGTAGTGTGTGCCACTAAGTCCACTTTAATCTGCCATTCCTTTGACATGGGATTCCTGCAGTCCCCAAGTTGTGCAAGCTTGGTAGATGCTGCTGTTAGCTGTTCTCAGTACTCGACTTGCCATGACCCCTAACACATTGTGTTAGCATCTGTTTGCTTTGTCTCCCTTTTCCAGACAGACACTAGTGCAGTGCCCAGGTACAAAGCAAGCACTTAATCGGTATGGATTAAGTGAGCATTGCTAAGGGGTAGCCTCCCATCCCCACAACTCTCCGAGTTACCTTTACATATAGCAAGCTAACTGCATTGACCTGTTACCTTCCAATGAGTGTTGCCTCCTTTGTATCATGATGCTGCTTTTATGTCGTCTTCTCTCTGTTCCGATTCACCCACAGCCCCAATTCATGGCTCTGTTCCCACACTAAATCTATTGGGAGGTGGCTGGGTATCTTTTTCAGTCAGTCTCAAGGGAACACTGCCTAGCAAAGGTCCAACCAGTCCGGCCAAGTCCATATGGTCACTCATTCTTCCAGGAGGCCACCTTACTCGTCTCACTGCCAAGAGAGAACAGGAACCCATTTCCCTCCCTTTGTAGTACAACCACAAAATTCTGACTCCAGCAATTTCTACATCGGTTTCCTGGTGTTAACTAGGTTTGAGCAAGAGAGGTCTCATCACACAAGTTTGTGGTTTGTCTTTCCAAGCCCTTAGGTCTCTAAAATTTGGGGGAAAGAGGAAATGCAGATTTATGGGTGTGTTAGTATCTGCTGAGATCTGGGGTAGGTCTTTAACCACTGAGACAAGAGAAGCCCCTAGACATCTTGTTCATCACAGGCACACTGGGAAATAATAGAATTTCAGAGGCCTTTTCTCAAAACTTCAAACTACTCTGTATCAGTAACCTTGGAAAGCAGGGACCGGGAGGGAAGAGGGAGATGAAGGATGAAAACAAAGAAAAAGATGATCAATTAGATGCATAATCTCCGAGCACATCAACAAGTGGTTCCAGCATGAGCCTGTCATTTCTCTCCACTGGACACGTGCTGAAATAAGGGCAGTCCTGTGCAGTGGTCCAGGACAGATAGCTCTCTGGATAGGCTTCATTTGCTTTCTTTACTGCCTAAGGTTGCTAGGGGAATGCTTTCTTCTATGACCTGCAAAATTTATACCGTCCTAAGTATCGTGTTCACCAGTCTCCCATCACAGTCATCACCATCCCTCATTCTGTGCCTCACTAAAACAAGACAATGTACGTACTTCCTTTGTTGGCTGCTATGGAGCTGCTGCAGGGTAGAACCGGAGGCTATCAGAGCAGTGCGTCCAGATAAGGAGTAGTGGGCAGCCTTGCCATTCCCACTATCATCATTTAATCTTCAAGGTTTAGGAGTGGCCTTAGGAATAGGTCAGTTTCTCCATACAGGAAAGGGAAAGAAGAGGAAGGACAAAGCATTCTATGTTAAAGGGTTCAGAGCAACCAAACAAGACACGGTGGAGTGGAGGGCTGTTGTCGATGCAATGTCACAGCTAGGATGAGAACAAGCTGGACTTTATGCCTAGAGCTCATAAGAAATGGGTTAAACAGCCAGGTGGTGGTGGCACACGTCTTTAGTCCCAGCACTCGGGAGGCAGAGGCAGGCAGATCTCTGTGAGTTTGAGACCAGCCGGGTCTACAAGAGCTAGTTCCAGGACAGGCTCCAAAGCTACACAGAGAAAACCTGTCAATTTAAAAAAAAAAAAAAAAAAAAAAAAAAAAAAAAAAAAAGAAAGAAAGAAAGGGTTAAACACTGAAGTGTTTTCCCTTTTCCCTACTCCTACACCGCCTGACCCCTTGATCAGCAGATCTGCCTAGCTGTTTCCCCATATCCTCAGCCAATCCCCAGAAGGTGCCAGCCACTTCCCTCAAATCCTGTGCTGATGCCACCTACGTAGAGTTAGCATCAGATCCACAGGCTGAGGGTTCCAACCCACAAGACTTTCCATTTCAGATTCCCTTCACAAGTCCCGGACTGACATGTGTGTCTCATGACTGTAAGTCAGACTTCCCACAACTTCCTTCTTATATCTGATTAAGTGCTAGTGCAGCTCATACCCTTCAGAGACACCTTGCTTCACCAGTTTGTTATAAAGGCTATAAATGGACAGCAGAGAGGAGATGCACAGGGCACATGAGCAGAGCCCTTTGACTTCTCCCATCAGTGAAGCTGTGGACCGGCGTTTCCATTTATTAAGAGAGAACAGTGCTTCCAATCACAGCATTCCCCAGCACACCCTTTGTTTTGCTGGCCAATGCTAGCAGCCCACTTCAGGGGCTGACTGTGTTGTCTTCATAGAAATATTTGAGCTGAAAGATATTTATGAAAGTTTAAGTTGGACATGGTCCATGCCTGTAAGCCCAGCATTCTGGAGGTGGAGGCAAGAAGATTGCCATAATTTTGAGGCTAGCATGGGCTACATAGTTAATGTAAGATCAGCCTGATCTACATAATGAGTTCCAGGCAAGCCTAAGCTACACACTCTCAAAACACCTCTGCCCACCGTACAAAAGCTTATTTAAGTAAAATCTTCAAGTTCATACTGATAAGTGGAAGGAAGTGGCATTAATTAAGAGGGTGAAACCAATAAAGGCAATTGTTGAACATCCCTTGAGAAAAAAAAAAATCTCCAACAGGATGACCTCTGCCAGAGACAACCCAGTGCAGGGGGCACTTGAGGTTAAGGTGGGGCTTTCTGGGTCCCCTAGCCTTGAATACAGGAGACCTGAGAAGACAGCACTTTTCTCTTGCTTCAGAGACATGGCGCCAGCTACGCAATAAGAAGGCATGCTCTGACACTATGCAAAAAACTGCCTTTGAGAACCCACTCTGCTCCCAGGCATGTCCTCTGGGCCTCACATCGCTAGGATTAATGGAAAGTAGGATGATGCTGCCCACCTTGAGGGCTACTGGGAGGTGAGTAATACCCATCATAGCAGCCATACTTAGTGGATGAAAATGTAGTCGCTGGTGTCGGCTTTTCAGTTTAAAAACTTGCCCTGCTACTTGGTGTGGACTTGGGAAAGTTATTTAGCCCGATTCTGCTTTGATTTCCACATATGTAGAGTTCTCTAATAACATCACCTGCCTTGTGGATTGTATGTTTTGCATGCACAAATATCTGGCATATGACAAGCACTCAAAGGAAGAGCAGCAATGTGAAACGATGCTATTTAATGCTAGTGACATCTCTAGTGCATTTGGAGTCTTCTTTCTGCCAGCCTGTGGTAAAATGGGAGATACAGGGAGATGCCTGGATGTACCACTTCAAGCCAGTTTCTTCTACCATTTGGGAAACTTCTTCACTCTAAGTGACCCACATGTCTTTGTTTCCTGAAGTGTCTCTTAGTTCTGCCTTGCAGTACTGCAGCCCCAAAGACAAGCCTGCAAGACTAACAATTTTCAGTTTGAGAACAAGCATTAGCAGTAGAATTTTAGGACCAAACTTTCATTTCAAAGCTACAAATGGTTCTCTGCACAGATGGAACCTTGGAGTCATTTGTGGGTTCAGCATCTTTCTATTCCAAGAAAGCCCTCCCCTCCACTGTGACCATTTATTTATTTATTTATTTATTTATTTATTTATTTATTTATTTGAGACAGGGTTTCTCTGTATTGCTTTGGAGCCTGTCCTGGAATTAGCTCCGTGTAGAGCAGGCTGGCCTAGAACTCACACAGATTTGCCTGCCTCTGCCTCCCAAGTGCTGGGATTAAAGGCGTGTGCCACCAACATCTGCCTCCCTGTGACCTTTTATCTGTACAAGTGTAGAGCAGGTCTCCATTTATTTGTTCTGGGAAAGCAGGGATCTTGCTTTAAAAATGGAAATTGTGATTGGGAATGTTGCTCAGTTTTACAGCCCTTGTCTAGCATAAGCAGGACTAGGGTTCACCAGTCAGCACTGCCCTGGTTAAAAACAAAAGAAACAAACAAAAAGCCAGAAGGGAGTCTAAAACCGTGTGGCGTGGTACAAAGGGTGTATGGTGTTCTCTTTCCCTATAAGACTTTAGATTGGGTGAAATGGCTTCTCTGTAGCTTTACTGCATTCTGGTTACTAACTTGCTTAAGACCAAGATAGTGCTCCCCCTTCTCTTCCCAAGTTATAGGAAGCAGACTTACTACCCACAGAGCAGGGAAACTACAAGCTTGGGATGCATTTTAGCCAGTTCCCCAAGACTCAGGAATGCTGTCCCTGGTATGTGTCCCACTTACACAACAGCTCAGGGACTCACAGAGCAGCCAGCCTTGTGTTTTATACACAAGAGACACTTGAAGATCTTCCTGCTTATGGGAA